CAATGCTTTAACCACGTGCACAGTGTTCATATTGCTCGGTAACTTATTAGCATCCCTTAAGAGGTCTGCGACACCACACCTTTCAGATGAAAATCGTCTTGACGCACAGACTAAAAACCTTATTCGGAGAGTAGTGGTGCTACGCTATTTGCTTGCATAGAAAGAGCATGCGCGTCTGCACCACTGTTTCCGAATATCAACTTCCCGACACTTCTAGAGTACGCCTCAATAAATGCATGCAGACTTTGAAAGCAACCACGCATAGCTAGGAAGTCGGAAATTGGCACTCGTTTTCCTCTTATTGTTTGGGGCCGGCAATAAATGGTAAAAAGTGTTCTTTCGTTTCAGCAGAACAGACCGGCTGACCGCCGCAGGAGCTGGTTCAATGTATGCTCATAGCGGCAACGTTCATACGAGACTCGTGTTCGCTTAGGGACGGTGGTGGTCTCCTAAGTTTTAAAAGAGCATGTAAACACGCAAATGTGCTTATATAGATTCTAATCAATATATCAGGCAACAATACGTAGCTTAATTATATGTTTGAGTGAGTCCTGGTATGTTATGACAATTTATGGTACTGGCGAAAACGCATCCCATACTGCAAGCAGTGCTGAACAGACATTAAAAACCCGAAACAGTTCACAAAAGAAAGAGAAATTGCTTTTTGAAAACTGAGTAGAACTCATGCACCGCGTTCTAAAGTTAACCGTGCATAGAATTACTTAATGTGCCCCTTTAGGAAGCAGCAACTCCAATACTGCGAATACAAGTTTGCAATTTTCCCTCATTACAGGTAAACAACAAAAACAGCCACGACAAAGCTGATGCTGCATTTCCGCACGGTTTTGCTTGGCTTCACAAATTCACCGTACGGTATGCAGCGGGATTGAATGTTAAACATTTTCACCACGTATCATTAATTCAATGAACGAAACGGCCATCCCTTGAAAACTAAACGTTTGTTCACGCGACGAATGCCAGCTGGTAACGAATCACGCTGCGTATAATACGCCTTTAAGGCAGAAATGTTTATGTAGACAGTGCAGCTTTTCGTTCAACAACACACAAGTGGCAATGGGAAATGGTAAATGTGCGTACGATTCTAAATTAACCATTCATTGATTTGCCCCAGAACACGAAGTGGCGATTGCCGTACTTGCCAGTACATGCCTCGACAGTCAGTGTTTAATGTGGTTTAATGAATGCGCTTACTCCCCCAAGAGGGAGTAACCGGATAGCGCGGGGCAACCTCCGCGTCTGCACTGGACTATAATGTTGTACTCTCTCTCTACCACGAATTGGCTTAACTTCAGGGTAGATTCTTTTGGCGTTCCATTTATTTCTGTTCCAACGCCCCCCCCCTCTTGCACTTTTAAAGACGTAAACATGTAGTGACAACAGCCTATTTCCTGTCTACTTAATGAAGTACATCAAAGCTGCTATTGTTATAATTCCAACTGAATGACTCACTTATAGGAGCCAGTTAAGATTGCAACGCGTGGGATAAAGAAATCAAAACGCACAATGTCAAATTGTTAACAATAAGGTAATTATTCGAACATCGCAGCCACTACATGCATAGGCGAACGAAACAGAAAGTAGTTTTAGATCAAATTCATGCGAAACGTGCTCAGTAGCCAGGCAGCTCCGCATGCTCTGGATGCAACGACGTGCTACCGTCAGAACCATTCTCTTGCTAATGTATGCCACTCATCCACCCTGGCACGCGTGTCGCTTGGTCACAGCAACGACCTGCTCACCTTTCGGCTGAGCGAAACCGGGAGTAGCACAGACCAAGAGCAGAAGAGCAGCAGCTCGATTACGTGCGCAGCTGATGCCTCACAACGAATACAGTTCCGGGTGACGTGCTATGCTTGCAAGTGACCTAAATCTCTAGTGGGGTATCGGATCTCCAAAACTACCTCACAATAGGCAACAGACTTCTGAAGTGAAAGCTTTACCTCAGTCCTCCCGTATTCAGAGACATGTGAAACACAAATTATTTTATTAAGCAAGAAGTGAACCAGCTTACAATTGTTACGCAAACTCATTTCATTCTTTCTGAAAGGCTACTTCTGAATTGAGTATTTTCTTCAGACATTTGGCTACCAAAACCAAAAGTATTAGTAAAACCGCTGCAATAAATCTCCTGCGCACTTTACACAATTTTGATCTCATGCTCTCGCTGTCCAGCTTCATGGCCGAGTTTGACTTGTCATGCTTCTCACAAATTATGCAAAGGAACTAGTAACAGTCGCAGACAGGTTTCGCGACAAGGAAGGCAAGTCGTAAAAATGAATGAATAATCAGGCAGAAAATACCGATTCTAGTGGCAAAATCAATTACATTGATGCTCTGCTTAGTGCTTCAATTAACTGCAAATCTTGCAATGGTCCGGCTAGCCAGTAATGGCATTTTTTTTATCATCCAGACGCGCAGCACGATTTGAGGCGCTCATCGTCTTGAGGTGAAGATGTCGCGTGAATTCAGGTCGGGGCACGCTACACCTATAAACGCTCATTCGTTCACGGAACGTACAAACTTGGCAGGTATTCTCTGTGGTGTTAGAGTGTTAGCTCACCGACCTGAACTCCGCTTCTACATCCGTCATATTTACAGCGTGTGGTTACACAGTAGTGCTATCTCATGCCCGATGCTTCTTTGCTGCCTGCTACCACAAATAGAGGCACCAAATAACAACAATAATAATAAAGCTCCATTCAAGCGTCTGCGATCAAAATTGCAGTGCTTTACCGATTTGCAGGACACATTTTTGCAGTGGCACTACAAAGACAGAAATTTCATCGCCAAGAATAAATGACAAACAAATGCCAGGCCTGCGCACAATTCGCAGCACAGTTACAGCGAAAGCTGAAAAAGGGGTCTTTGAAAGTCTTTTTGAACTCTCCTTGGATAACTGCTATAAGCGCATTTGTAGGCTACCCACTACGCCATAAATAATAAATTTTGTACAGTAGGAGTGGTTCCTGAATATATCGGCGCAACCCCTTTTGAGGGTAGGGGATATTCACTATGCTTTCCTTGGTCGTTCTTTGGAGAAGCGGGGTACCCGCGACACACTTGCAAGAAATTTCGCATAATTTTTTGATGCTTTGAGTGACAATGATGAAGAAATATGCCTGAAGTTTTAGTAATGGGTAGGAACATTTGACGACCTACTCGCATTTGGCATTGCGTGATGCCCAATTGTTCCCTAGATGTTCTAAAATGCTTTATTACTCATATTAAGGCGATTCCTTTCCCGACACCAAGTCTACCTAGGGTAAGTTAGCGAGGAAGTTTCAAGCACCAGCGTGACTCAGTGGTAGAACGCTGCAGTGGCACACGGGACACCCGTTTTCGAATGTCATCGTGATCTTGGTTTGTTTTGTTATCTATTTTTTTTTCTCAATTGTGCGACAATGGTTACGGAAGCCGGCGGCGGCGGCGGACAACTAAGGTACACGTGGCCCTCGTTGCGATCTCATAACAGCTTTCGCTATAAAATCTTTTTAACACGGGGTGCCACTAGAGCCCCACGTTTCGACAAGCAGTCGTCTTCAAGGCTGCAGCTCTGAAGGCCAGACTGCTTGTCGAAACGTCAGCTCCAGCGACGATCGCTGTCCAAGTATTTTTCATCTTTTAAAGCTCTCACTTTCCCCTGAACTTGAGCCTTATTTGTAATCCTACCCCTATGGAGGCAACCAGTGCCACTGGCAGGAATTTTTCTCGGAGGAGGAGTGCTTTCTGAGGAAGTGTGGTGGATGACAAGCTGATGTCTCGAGCTGTTGTATGCTAGATGTCGTATACTATGGTCGACAAAGGTTTCGTAGAACGGAAACAGCATTCGCAGCCGTCATATTCGCGACTAGAGCAAAATAGAGGCTTAAGACACACTACGACACACCATGCTGCCTCCGAAATTTCAGATACTGCACTAATTCTATCATGCAGGTGGCGCCCCACGGGGAGGTTGGAACAGAAAATCTGGTGCATTAAAATCGGCCAGTGACTAATATTCCGATTGGTCCAAATGATTACAAGACAATTAATTAGCCCAAACTAGGTACAACCGCTGTGTAATGACAGCGCTTACGTCTTTTGATATGTGCTTGAACAAGGAGGGCAAGAGCTAAAGCCTGTCCTTGTAAGCCACCAGGGGAGTCGGGATAAGTAGGAACACAAACGAACGGTCGATTGGTTCATATCCCTACAGCAGCTACCTCGCTAAATATAATTCACGAAACTTCTCACTGGTACTCGAAATGAGAACAACCTACTCAGCTACCGCTTACCACATGGCTGAAAATAAAAGATACGAACAAAAACTTGCACAAGCTTCACAAACAGAGCTTACAGATGTTAACAAAAGCAGAAAAAAAAAGAAAAAAAGGCACTTTTTTCTATAAAGCTTTAATTATTCTAACACAACTATAGCTAATCAGCCAATTTATAGACTAAGCACATAAGTGTGTGCAAGATTAATCAGGACCGACTTAAAGCTTAGATGTGTGGCATAGTTGTCAATACTGGGACAGTATTGCAAAAGAATGCAAACGTTAAAATGACAAGTCCAAGGTCACAGATATATGTGGGCTTCTTTGCTTGAAACATCTCTCCTGTACTTCATTGATAGTACAGTCACAATGAGTTTGTAATGACTGATTAAGCTAGGAACTTCTTTTTAGTCTTTCTTTTTGTGCATATGACAACGTAGATTTTTAGAAGATACAAGTAAGTGCTTATGTAGTGCCGCACCACTACCAGCAAGCTTGGTATTCTTCAGGTTCTGAAGATAATTGTATCCAATTACACAATGTCAGATATGTTGGCACTGAAAATACGGTAATGTTACGAAAAACCTTTCATGCAAATAAACTAAAAAGCATATATTTAACAGAGTGTTTTCCAATCCTATTAGAGCTGCTTCACAAGCAGCTTAAAGCAGCAGCTGCAGAATAGCAGCTGCACTTTAGTGATAAAAAGCATCATAAACAACCTGTAGTGAAAGGCTAAATTTATTTGGATGGCATTACTGTACCACCTACCACAAAAAATAAATAAAAAAAACTGCATACTAAGTGGTTTGGGCCAGAAATGTTAAGTGAGTATCACCTTGACATTGACAATGATGCCCCACAGCTGCATACTTAGTCAACAACAAACTGCTAACATATAGAGTGATGACATCATGTACTACCAGTCACTTAAACCTCTTCGTAAAAACAAAGCAGTCGTCCATTTGAGTGTTCCAGTTCTTACAAACTATATATATTCTAATTTTCTGCCACTCATCTAATCAGCAACATATATCTCGAAATTCACAGCTCTCTTCTTGCATGTTTTATGGTCATATTTTCGTTCGCACTTCAATCATTTCACATTTTTCATCGTTGAACAACACTGACAACCTCCACTACCTGTGAAACTAGTTACTCTCCCAATACACGCAATTATGCTGAATCTCCACCATAAACGAAAACAGTGACATATGCTAAGCATTCGATGCATGTACGGGCATTGATTGATGACTAGTCGGGAAAACTCGTCCACACTGATTGCAAAGAGTCTCTGGCTTTCTTTTGCCAGTTGACAGTAGGTGAGACAAGCCTTGAAAATATGCAAGGGAGAGGGGCACTACAGGCTATTGGCAGGAACACAGTCTTTCTGCCTTACTGGCACTGCTGGCTAGTGCCAAGCTAGTTATTGCCTGTGCACAGCACAATTTATGCTCATATGGCACAGCAAAATGGCGTACAAACACAAAACACAAGAAACACAGAAGCAGAAAAGCACAAGCAGCAACTTGCTGATACACAGTCACAAATAATTAAAAGTCTTGTCTCATTCCTTACACTGTAAGCAATCTGTTAAATAACAAATGAGATAGAGAACTGCTCTGCTCCTACTAAAAAGTGCAGCTGTGAATTCGGTTGAAAGATTTACAGGTACCACTTATAAGTTCAAATGCAGTCAAATACGTAATTATATTCAATAAAACACATTTCTGGGTTATTGGGTGAACAACTACTGGCACTGCAGCACAGAAAAAAATGACAGATGGGGTCAACATGGACAGGCACACACTTCCAACTGATTTATTTCCAGAAAAATTACTCAATGTATTAGGCCTGTGCCGCACATGTGCAAAAATGTCACAAAAAGGCAGAACTTTTTTTTTCAACATAACAGAAAGTTCACTAATACACACGTTTTCCCTTTCTTTTTTCAATAAAATACACCTCAGCCACCTGTTGGGCAATAGTACCATCACTTCATTTCATGATACTAGCTAAAGATATGGTTTCACACAGACAAGGTTTACAGTGATGCAGAAGGTGTGACCTGGTCCTATTTTTCACAGACTGCATGCTCATGTAACTAATCATTAATGCTTCAGCCAGTTTAGCCAATCTATATCTTGCTATAGCTTAACAGAATCTGATACATGATTCTTACAGAGTACTCTACAGAACACTTGGCCTGCATCTTTCCAGAGCCATATCTATGTATGTGGTGTTTCATGACATGCTTACCAAGGCTACAAAATTTATATGGCATCGAAATCCAGCTGCAGTAAAGCATGAAACTTGTGCGTCAAAACTGGCTAACAATGTGTGAAAAAGATGTTTCTTTAGCGCGTATACGAAACTTACAGACGTGATAACTTTTTAGCATTCTGGAATGGGAAGAATTAGAGGAACAAATTTCCTATGTGCATGGGAACAGTACATTTACTAAACATTGTTATCATAAAGATTTGTAGATGCCTAAAAACTGAAGCTTGATGGAAGTCTCAAATGTAAAATTAAGCCCTTCGTCTGTTGCTTATAAAGAGTTCACACAGTACTGAAACAATACATTAGGCTCTTAGAAATAAAAAAGTCTTAAAATATTAACAACAAAGATTCATAATACCCTGCAGCACCTATTTAGAACTTCTAAACTCACATCAGAGCTGGCAAAAAAATATGTCATTTAAAACTGCCGCCATACATGATTTGATGCAAATACTTTGCTTCTGTGAAAACCACCAACTTAAAGAAGACTACAGTTGAATCATAAGTAAATAAAGCTAAAAAGTTATCAGAGAAAAGGTCAGCCTTATTATGAAGTGCAATATTCCTATTTGCCTCAATGCATGAATGCAACACCTTAAATAAGCTTTTTGTTGAAAACTGAATAAAACTAACCTTCAACATTAATTGAAAATATAACACCAACCATCGAGAAAATATTACTTGATACACGAGTTCTTAATACTGAACAGATAAACCGGCTGGAATGATTTCAGCCGTTTACGAAGGAACTGGCAAGTAGCAACTGCAAAAGTCGTTCTGAGTTATAAGGAATGCACTTGTTTTTGTTGACCTTGTCTGTCATATAGCAGCTTTTCCGCACCGCAGTTTTAGTAATTGAATATATTTATCTAAGCACAAACAAGATTTTTCACACAAAGCTCTAGCCAGTAAAAAAACAAACAAACAAAGAAATCATGGCAATACCATTGAACGTGTTTGTTCTTCCTTAATTAAAGGGGCCTGGCAACACCTTTCCAAGCTGCACAAGTGAGGAGATCACAAAGGGGAAAGAAATTTGGTCAGCGCATGTTATAACCTTGAGCAAATCTGATATATATTTTTTTCTTGGAACGAGTTGGCTCACTTTCAGATGATCACCCGCTAAGGCCACTATGATTTATTTTAGCAGTTTAGAGAGCTCCACGCCAGCACGCGGCAACACCCTGTGGCAGCAGTGGTAACTAGGCAGCACAAGAATGTTTAAATCAGCCAATGGCCATATCGCTCCCTCCGTTAACTTATCAAGAGGCCCTGCATGACTTACTTCGATGGGAGAAGAGTGACCAATTTTTAGCAGTCTTTGAAACGCGACTGTAACTCTCTGCTGCATGCAATTCTATAATATTTGGCTCACAAGTTTACAGAGGCATCTATACCAAACAGATTGGTGGCATTTTCTGACCGTGTTCAAAAAGTGTTGTAGGGCTCCTTTAAGTAATGGCGGCGCAGGCATGAGGTTACCAAGATGTGCACTTTTTATGGTTGAAACTTGGCACACCCAAATTCACAGCTGCTTCAGACTTGTGTAACTTTAGGCATTAGGCATGAATATCAAATACGAAAAATCGTGGTAGAGAAAAAGAAATAGTATGAAGAAAGTGCAAAACTTGATCATATAAAATTAACGATTTCAGAAGCTTAAGATTAAATACAGGGTCATAGAATGTCCTACTAAGCAATTTGAGCATGAAGAGTGTAAAATGATGCATCATTTCACAATGTTGGTGCTAAAATCCGACAGAACATTCTCCCATCTTTCGAGGTATACAATGCTCAAGGCACATTCCCTTAAAGAGTCTAGGCTTGCAGCACTTGATTTAAATCATTGCTTGGCAATGGCAACAAGATATGAAAAAAAAAAATACCAGTGGTAATCTTGTTTTCTATCTCGATCATTACCTTTAGGTGGCAAGAAAGTTAAGTATACAAGGTAGGTAAACGTTGCCATCAATTTCACATTTTAAGACCTAAAAAGAGAATTTAACAGAAAAGGAAGTGAAAAGCAGCTTGCAAATTTATATTTCTATGAAAGCTGCAATACCCATAGTGTGTGCTCACAAAATGCATAAATTAAGGGTCCCTCACCATGCTTCTAAATGTCATGACGTCTATAGATTAGGTGACACATATTTAAAAGCTTCCTAGTAAAAAGAGCGAAATTTTAAAAACACAAGCCATTGTGTAGAGAGTCTAGAGACACTTGCCGCACATCGGTGCTATGTGACTCTGGTCACTCGTTTATGAGCCTAAAGTTGGTCCCAATCATCAAGTTCCCTGTTAACCTTTCTAAAAGGTCTCTTAACTGTCTCCTGGAATGAGGTTGCATTGCACACTAAGTGTAAACAAAGGCAAAGAAAGAAAGCAAGAAAGACAGAAAAAGAGAGAGAAAAAAATAAACATGTGCACTGCCATACTAACGATTGGTTTTGAACAAGTATATGAACATTTGACATATGCCCGCCTTTCGATTCTGCATTTCAAGATAATTCTTTAATTATACCTGTAAGTCTCACGCTACAGGTATAGAGTATACAAGAAGGAGAAAATCACTTTACTAAAGAGAGTTGCACTCATAGTTTGGCATGACTTCACCTTAAATATAGCACTCACTATAAACATGTTCTATGTATAAAATACTATGTACAGTTATTAACACCAGTGAGTGCCCCCCCCCCCCCCCACCCCAAAAAACTCTTTTCAAAAACAATAGTGCTAAATAAAAGAATCTGCCAAACAACATTCATTCATACACATAATGAGTGCATATGCGCCATAAAATCAAATCTTTCAAAAGAACAGAAAGATCCTATATATATAAAACGAGGAGAAGCTACAAAAAAGCTGGAGGTAAACCGGATCATTCAGCTTTTCAGCATGCCTCAGATGTGCAGCACACAAAATTAGTAATGTACAGAGTGTATAACAAAATGTACCACGATTTTTTTTGTAAGTCTTGAGGTAAAACACTTCCAACCTGTAGCAGCTTCTTTGAAAACCAGCTTTCTAAGCTCACTGAAAATCTGGCAAGCAGTGGTGTTAGCTTGAGATTTTGCCGATGGTTGTGGCCTCTGCTATGATGCTAACTGTAAAGCCTACTACAGGCTGGTTATGCTCACCAGGTCCTATTTATTGGATTGAATATCGCCTTTTCTGTATGCTCTAGTCACGTGGTAGACGTTAGGTGACTCACAACATCTTATGTGCCTAGGTCACCGCCCTTCTGTACTGCTGTTCGGTAGCTGAACCGATCCTGTGCTATTCGCTTGTTTCGCACAGCCGTTGGGGAGCTACGAGGAGAACATGAACTAGCTACTGCTGGTGCTGAAAATGCAGATGAGGGTAAGCCAAGTGCAGGGGAGCTAGGCAGAGCCTTATGGGAGGGCTGCTTAGTCCGAGATGGTGATGGTAGTGGTGGGTTGTTGGCACAGCCATGGCTGCCTCCATGGTTCTGCTCTGGCTCATCCACTTCACCAATGCTTGTCTCGACGAGTGCTGGCACAAGCTCAGGATACTGCGCCATCTTAGAGCGTAGCAGGTAGGCGTAGGTGCGGTATCGCTTGAGCTAGAAATAAGGTTGTGATTAGCGAGACATGCTCCGGGCATCACTATTGTATCTAAAGGGCAGTTTTATCTATGAAGAACATTCTTATAATGCACCACTGTACCAGAGAGTGCACATGAATATATGCCACTTATCAGTGGCTTAGCTTCGTCTACTCAGTAGAAACAAATATGAAAGGGGCAACCAGAACAGTGCTGTGTCGAGTATCAAGCGTAGTATGCATTTCTATCCCTAAGCGAGTGTCACCCAACTCCTTTACAGTGTATTGCATCCAGCAGCTTCTCCCAGTGAGGTTTTTTCTGGGTAATAGTGTCTTTTTTTTTTCCATGGAATCAGTTTCACTCGTTCGGCGTTTTTTTCATGATGACCAGTTGAAGTGAACAGTGGGTAGCTGTGAAACTTTTTGTATTGCTCCAACTAAATGTCTCCAAGAATATTGCAATAATAAATACTGTTTAAAAGGATGCTGCAATAGGAAATACTTCAAGATAGGAATGATTCTCTTTTTAAACAAGAGGAAATATCATTTAATGAGATACTTTGTTCTGGATGTCTTTCAAGTTCACAATCAGATGAAAAAAAAAAAAAAAAAACGTGCACTTGAGCTTCAAGACCAACAACAGGCCACTGAAGGGTTGAATAACTTAAATCATATAGCTTGCAGATCGGCTCAAGCAAACTTGGACAGAAAATGTCGAAATGAGAAGAGCTATTGAAAAATTTCTGCTTCGAATTTCGACACACGAGCAAAGAGATGGCTAACTGAAAGCAGGAGTGCTCTGTGGAAAAAAACAGCTTCAGAGCAACCAAGACTTTCCCTCCAAGGTTGCTACTTGTGACCAGTCAAAGTTACATTGTTACCACTTCTGAAGAAAATTTCAGATCCGTACACAATTCACTAAAAAAAGCATCCATCCTGAAAAAGACTGGCCCCGCAAAACAGGTGCCGTGGAACAAATCACTGTACTCATAAAAAAGCATTCTTTGAAAGCCACCGGATCCAATTTACTGAAAAGCTGCCACATGATGCTTGCCTATCAGGAAAATTGAACACTACAGTAGCTTCACCCACCAAAGTGCTATAGTGGTTACTTTTCGGCAACCCTTTGTATTAAAATTGGTGTGAAAATAATTTATCAATAATCAAAGCTAGGAGATCAGTTCCCTTTCTGCTATCTTTGCTATATTTTTAAAGCTTCCAAGATGAGATGAGAAAATTACAGGCAGAATGTAAGCCAAACTCACCTCATTCTGCAGAAAAGACTCCTTCTCAACAAACTCGGCAACAGTTCTAGACTTGGCACCTTTTTCTGGAGCATTAGCTACATGTTCCTCAAGCTCCTTCTCGAGCCACACAATGCGATTCTCATGGTCAGTCAATTGCTCTCTCTGGAAGTATTAAAAAAAGAAGAAGTACAAGGTAAAAAATAGTGGGTGACGCAAAATTGATTGAGCACCATGCAACTTAAAAAATGCTTTCACAAAAATGAATTCTCACCAACTTGCCCTGCTTTCTCTCCTTGAGCAAACATGATCTCCACCTATTTTTCTTAAAGGACAAAAACTTCAATGTCACACTACTGCTTCAGTAATACCCAACTTGAATAAATGAACATGAAAATCGTACAAAAGTATGCAATCCTACAAAAACATTGAGTTTAGGATAAAGATTGATTGATTGATATGTGGGATTTAACGTCCTAATACCACCATATGATTATGAGAGACGCCATAGTGGAGCGGGGGGACAAAGAACGGAGGGGTGCGTAACAAAAAGAGGTCGGTGCATGGAGGAAGGAAACGGCTTTCCTTCCTCCATGGGTTGGGGAGAGCGGCAACTAGAGGGTCATGGAGGCAGGGTCGGCATTTAACAATAAGAATGTATGGACACCTCGCCGATGCCTGATCGGTGGTCGAAATTGGTTTGCCGAGAAGTCGGCAGACGGTTGACTCCGTTCGCTGAAACCGATCAGCGGTACTCAGAGACGTTCGTTGTAAGTACGATTTTGTGCCATTGAACCAATGTATATTTTCACGGTCACGCGGATATTGTTCATTTTAAGCAAAAGTTCGTTTTAAGTGGGGCCTTTATATGTGGGCTCGACTGTATATGGGACGATAATTTCCTATTTTCTGCTTTTCACCTGTTCTATGTATAGGTATTACTCTCGCCATCAGCCAATCATCCAAAAGATGTTTTTGTGTGATTGAGGCCGTAAATATTATTTCTAAGTAGTAGGCTACCCATTCTGCATATTGTCATAAAAATGCGTAAGGTATTTCATCTGGGCCAATAGATTTCTTTTCATACATTTCTAAAATAAGGGATAGAATTCCATCGTATGTTACTACTGTATCAGCCATCGGTGTGCTAGGGCATTGGGCCTCTTTGATTTTCAGACCTCTGGCAGCTCTCTGGCACCCAGAGCTAGCCAGAGGGTCAGCCAGCTAGTTCCGGTCGGGACAGGAAACAGCGACGTGGTCATGTGTGTCGGGAACCCGAGACAACCCGAAGCTGCTCGAAGATTGCAAAATCGAACGCTGGGACAGCCAGCGTAAATGTAAACAAACACTACCATCGTGGCAGCAAACGAAACAATGTGCCGCATGCGCGTTATTTTTTTCTCTGCATTGTCCATCTGGAAATACATGGCTAAGTTTGCCGAAGAGCTAAAATAATATCCTCGAGCGTACGCATTTGGAGTACAACTTCATACGCTCGTACAATCACTCGCAACTCGCCACGTCCGCAAACGAAACATCCAGCTGGCGCACGCCGCCTCGAGAACGATGCAAGATGAGCTGCCGCAACGCTGACGGCTTAACAAGCTTGTGTCATATTAGTACATGTAACAGTCACTGCACAACATGATGCAAAATCAGGCGAAAGTGATCGTGTCCTAAAAAGAGCTCGAGGATATATATATCTGCTCAGCGATTGCGTAGTATATGTTGTAAACACACATTGATCAACTTGCATTTTTGCGTAGGTATTGGTACCACGAGTGCACATTGTATCTAAAATAAACTTTTGCGTGACACGTTTTCGACTAGTTTTGGGACTCCCCTGAGCTTATTTTCCAGTCCTAAATGGCACTTACAAAATCCTATGAATCTCAGCTTTGATTTGATCGACTATAACGTATCGTACACATGTTGCATGGCATTATTACTAAGAGGTGAAAAAAGATAATGCCAACGATGAAACAGGCAACGAAAGGATGCATACTTTCTGAATCCATCTCCGTTTTTTTTTTCTCGCATCAACAATAAAGTTTCTCATCCATTCATCTCGTGTCGTAGCATAGAAATAATGACATACCACATATGCTGGCCCACAGATTGAAGTGCGCTTGCACACCCTTCACGACCAGCGAGCATCAAACACTTTAAAACAACAGTCGTGATCTAGGGCATTTTATACCCATCAAAAATGGAGTGGTCAAGTGCTAAGAAGTTCACTTACGCATGCAAACATACAACAGAGCAAGCTAGTTCGACCACAATCGTATTTGCTAACTGCACAGAAAGCAGGCACGGCACCACAAACGACTACTACGAAAAAATAACTCGAAAGTTGTCTCCATGCGTGTATTCGAACGTGAACTTAACTTTTGCGGCATGTGTACGATGCAGTTAGCAGGCAACAATTCGCCGCATTGTTAACAGGAGGAAGCTTCACGGGAAACAACAACAATGATGAACAGTAGCTCAAAGCCTTTTTGTTAAAGAACAGGCAATAAAAACTGGAACCTTTTTAGCAAAAAAAACTAATATATAACAAATTATATAGATATGTATCACATACTTCAATACGTAGACATGTATACAGGGCATTATTTCAAAAAATATGAAATGTGTTAAAAAAAAAAAAATTTCCAGGGCTGCTAAAGATACCAAAAATCCATAATGATAAAATACACCACCCCACAAAAAGTATATATTTTTCCTGAGGAAGAGCACTGCAGTAAAGGCACCTTTCTAGGGGCTTCCAACCACTCAAAAACGATAAGTAACATGTTTTAGAAAACTATTTGCCCTTCATACTATACTGACATTACCTCACAGTTGCGCCTCGTTCTTTAACACTGAATTACAACCACAAATACAAAGGAAGACGGTAGCAAACGGCATTGCTGCATTGATGGCATTAACTCTAAAGTCTTTCAACATACAGTAGTGTCTCATAATTTAATCCAGATATTTAGCAGTGAACTTCAGCTGTGACACTCCACAGGGAACGTTCTGCGTAACTAAAAAAATCATGCCTATCTCTTGGTCTGGTGGTAAGAATGCAGTGTGTGGTTTTCAAACCATATCACTAAGTGTTCCCTGAAAGCTATGTATATAAAGCATTTTTCTGATGTTGTTCACAATTACAGAAGAAGCAACTTGACTTGCAAATTGTAGCATGGCTTTTGAAAAAAACTGTCACGTAAGGCACAATGAAATGAATTCTCCTTGGTCTCTTGTGAAATGAATTCTCCTTGGTCTCTTGCGAAGAATATTGATTGATTGATTGATATGTGGGGTTTAACGTCCCAAAACCACCACATGATTATGAGAGACGCCGTAGTGGAAGGCTCCGGAAATTTCGACCACCTGGAGTTCTTTAACATTCTTTAACGTGCGCTTGCGAAGAATAGATGTGAATGCAAAGGCAAATTCCATAATTTGTTTTCTAAAGATTCCGATTGTATTACCAATTGTTGTCTTACACCTACACTTGTATGCTTAAATCTCAATTAACTAACAATGCCCATTCATTAACAACTTTCTGAACTCATTTACAATTACATTTTTATAAACTGCATTTATTTTTTCCTCATTTTTCAGCATCAAGCACTCTTTTCAGGTCCACCATATATGACACATTTGGTCAACATTAAGTTTACTTAAAGAAGTCTCATCTGTTAATGAGCCTTTAGACACAGCATGCCGGTATTTTAACTGCACAGCTGAAAATTGTTCATATTTTCTAAACCAGTCTATAATTTAAAGATAATATAAGCAAAGTAACTAGTGTCGGGTCTGTAACTGTTACTGCATTATTTTTGTAGGCTCAAGCTTATTTTCCTTCAAATGGAGAATTCAAGTATGAAATAGAAACTTGTAATACTGACAATACTGAAGGCACCATGCTTAAGTTATACCCCACATGTACACAGTTTTCTGCATTTTTCATAAACTTCCAGAAGTATGGAAAATGTACAAGAAAGTGGCTATACATGAAGATAGCGAAAAAACGAGGGAAAGGGAAGGAGTGCGCATACCAGGTTGAACTTGGTGTGGCTAACAGGAAGCAGAGGCCTCTGGAACCTCTTCTGGCTGCCCACTGCACCGGCAAGAGCAGGTGCTGACAAACTGGCTGTCACGAAATTGAGAGTGTCAATCCAGCTTTGTAACTCTTTGGCATCTCTGAAACACAGAAAATAAAGGCAAACATTCAGAAAAAAAAGGAAGCACCCTACAGTACGAACAGAAATACTTAACATGAGCCTACAAGCTTCGGCTTCATGTAAAGTGAAGGTTGTTGTTCTGCACGCCTCAAAACGGAAGCAGTTTTAACACGACAGCATTAAAAAGCTTGTTTTGCAATAACTTTGGGGTTAGTATTGGCAACAGAATCGCTATCGTTGGTTGTGAGAGAAAAATATGCATTGTCATTGAGTGAAAATGAGAGAGATGTGAATAAATAAATAAATAAACAATAAAAATGTTGGATATGGGTGAGAATCGAACACACACCTTCTGGAGCTATGCCAGCGCTTGAAATTGCTTTGGAAAAAACACCATAAGAATTTCATGTAGAGTATGGAGTCTCCTTAATGCATGTAATATTGCGTGGCAGAATCATAGAATAGCCCCAAGCGTCAAAACAACTGAACTCTGCAATGAGCCTGAATTGTGCAACACAGATTGGCTATCTGATGAAAAAAAATAATGTCTCAGAAGGTATTATTGCTGTTTAGCCAGCTGACATTTTGTATGCAACAGCAATAGTCAGTTGTGACTAGTATCCCGGTGTGTCCTAGCTTCCGGCGTTCATGGTGCAACATACAAAAACAATGTGCTATGGCATAAAGCCTGAGCTGATGAAGCTAACATTCAACACTAACTTTATATGACATATAGAAACACAGCAGCATTTTCTGCATTCTTCAGTGGCTTTCACCAAGTGAAAAAAAAAATGAGAGAAAAATGTGAGGCTATAAGATTTCATCTTCCCTAGAACAAATGTAAATTTTGAATAAAGGTACAGCCTGTGGACACTGATAATTCAACTCGCACTTTTCATGTCAGAGGCGGAGACGACACAACTAGTCAACTGTAACACAAGATGGCACTTTTCTGAAAGATGTTTTGTTTTCATACCCACCATCATGAGGAAAATTAGGTTACTTTCAGAACACTTTTTTTTAGATTTTGGCTCATAAAGATATCTTTCTTCTACAGTCCTCCGAATATCATACACTAGACTTCGAATTCGAAGAAAAGCAGAAACTACAGTCACTGCTAGAAGTTCCCTTTCAAAACTGCAACTAGTCACTGTGTTAGCATTAGTGGTCAAAGAAGTATAGATAAATATGTGGGGTTTAATGCCCCAAAACTGACAAATGATTATGAGAGACGCCGTAGTGGATGGCTCCGAAAATTTCAACCACCTGGGGTTCTTTAGCGTGCACCCAAATCTGAGCACATGGGCCTAAGGCATTTTCGCCTCCATCAAAAATGCAGCCGCTGCAGCTAGCATTTGATTCCACGACCTGCGGATCAGCAGCAGAATACCATAGCCACTAGACCACCGCGGCGGGTTGTCAAAGAAGTATGGCAGTATGGATACTGTAAATGTCAGTGAACTGTCAGATAACCGAGTGGTCAAAGATGTGTACATAATACAGTGCTGTATGTTTTTTTTTTCACTTGCGTGCAAGCAGTATACCTTAAATGTAAACATTTTGACAGAGGTCTGTCTGGCTGGGTCGAAGATTAAGGCAGGTCAATACACCCAGCTATGATCTTAGAGAAAACCCGACATTTCAAGACCGGCTCTACTCAGGGGTGACTGTAATAGTCAGGAAAGGGCTGACGAGCGTTGACCTAGGCGCGGTTTTTTCCTTTCTCTCACTTTTCGGAGACCGTGCATGTAGATCGGAGGCATTGTTCCAAGGGACCGATCCATGTTTGCTTGCGTGTGCTGTATGTGCCAGGACATGAGCAAAAGCCTCCTTTTCAGATTTTTTTTTCCTTTTCTATGACAGAAGTGTCGTCGAAGTCAATCTTATGGTCATGCTTCTCACAATGCTCTGCAGGAGCATTGCGTAGAACTTCCATTTTCCTGACGTCGTTCCTGCACTTACTCTCACTTATGTATCTCGCTGGGCATTACGCACACGACACTTTGTTGACCATGTCCTGGTGTTGCTCTCTGGATCGTCGATATTACGGCTGTGGTAATAAGTGGGCGAGCGTTGAAGGTGGCTTATGAACTGTCGTGACCCCAGCTTTTCCGAGGACCCTGGCGAGCTGTTCACTAGTTCCTGGAAGATACAGGATGATGACTCATTGGGTTGGTTACCTTGGTCTCATTATAGCCCGTGGTGTGGCAAGTGAGGGAGGAGGGTCGCCTGTGTCCCTCACAGGTGCATCTTCGCGATGGGGTGGTTGACCTCTTGACATGCGGAGTGCCACTCGGTGGATGAAAGCTGCAGTGTATCCCTTCCTTTTAAGCTCGGTTATGGCCCTCTCTTCTCTCTTTTTTTTTCCCCTTCCGACGTGCAGATAGCTCTTGCTCGTAGAAGGAGCACAGACACTATGGAAGCTTTGTGGTCAATGGGGTGACTCCATTGTCAGGTTCGCAGCTGTAACACAAACGACTTCTCTCATCACGGTCCCTCTGGTCAGTCTGTACAAATTCCCATCGATACTGAAGTATGTTCCCTCGAGGCAGTACTCCAGGGAACATATTTCAGTGTCAATGGGAATTTCCACAGACAGGCCAGGGCGACTGCAATGGGAGCAGCTGTTTCCTTTCTAACTGTGAACCTCCCAATAGAGCACATATGAGAGATGGCACTGTGATACTTTATTAACAGGCCAAAAAGTATTTGTGAGATACGTGGATGACTGCTTTTCTATCATAAAGAGGACAGAGGTAGATAGCTTCTTCGAACATCTTAACTCTATCAACCAAGCAATTCAGTTTACGATGGAATGAGAACGAGACCAGACTGAGTGCTATTGTTTCTTGATGCTTTAGTACGACAACAAGGCGAGCGCATGACCTTCTCGGTGTACAGAAAACCAATGCACCCCAGCAGGTATTTGCGCTTGAACTCAAGTCAACCCACTGCCCACAAAGCTTTCGTAGTGTATGTGCTCCTTTCACGAGTAAGAGCCATCTGAACATCAGAAAGGGAAAGAAAGAAAAGAAGAGAGGGTCATAACTGAGCTCAGAAGGAATAGATACACGGGAGCTTTCATCTAGCGAGAAGTCTATTCATCCATGCCGAGAGGTCTATCATTCCACGGTGAAGACTCACCACCTGCGAACGACATACGCGATGCCCCTCCCTCACGTGCCACACCACCAGCTACAATAGGATCAAAGAAATAAGCCCAACGAGTTGTCATCCCGTATCTTCCGGGAACTAGCAAACAGCTCGCCAGGGTCCTTAGAAAAGCTGGGGTCACGATAATTCACAAGCAGGCTTCAACGCCCACATGCTTATTACCACAGCTGAAAGACCGATGATCCAGGAAGCAACACTAGGGCGTGGTCTACAAAGTGTTGTGTGCGGTAAGTCCAGCAAGCTACGTAGGCAAGAGTAAGTGCTTCCCAGAAAAAATACGCCAGCACAGAAACGACGTTAGAAAGATGGAAGTTTAATGCAGAGCCCCATGCAGAGCGTTGTGAGAAGCATGACCATAAGACTGACTTCAATGGCCCCTCTGTCATAGAAACGAAAAAGAATCTGGAAACGAGGCTCTTGCTCGAGTCCTGGCACATACAGCACACGCAGGCAAACGTGAACCGGTCCCTGGGAACAATGCCTCAGATCTACGTGCATGGCCTTCAAAACGTGAGGGAAAAGGAAAGACGGAGCCTAGGACAAGGCTCGTCGACCCTTTCCTGACTATTACAGTCAACACTGAGGAAGGGACCAAGCTGGTTTTGAAACATCGTTTTTTTTTTCCCAAAAAATTGTGGCTGGAGGTAATTCAAGTTCCTTAAGCAGTATAGCTGTTTCACCGTGGCCAAAGCTTCAGTTGCTGTAGCATGTCAGTGATTGTCATATTTTGCTGTTTTTGTAGTTGATGCTACAAGTAAATACATACACACTATAGTTCAGAAATATAAAATGTGGCAACATATTCTAGAAACATGACGGTTGGTGTCACGAAAGTTGTGTGTGTGGATGGTAGGAGCCAATAAATTGTGTGTGTTCAATGTCCTTGGTAGGGGCCCATAGGCTACCCATGGCATTCACTAGAGCAAGCAGATGGACCTACATGATCCCAAGCTCATCTACTCTTCCATATAAGTTCACCGGCAAAACTCTAACCGAGCCAGATGAGTGGCGGTCATAGAATTTTTAGTTCATTGCAAGACAAAGTTAATTGCTTTGATGCCAGTTTTTCAGTCCGCAGAGTTCTGGCTCATTGAGCTAATGTTGAGCGAAATATCATACCAGCTTACCTTAGCATAGAATATTATGGCCACCTTACAGTGGTCATCTACAGAATTTCTTTTCTTTGATTTCTCATGTCCCTTGTAAAAAAAACTATACTACTGAAAAATTTAACAGCAATCAGTCACCAAAGCCAGTGGGTCATGTTGTACTCATGGAAGCATGTTTGACAGTTACCCATGCACACTCTAAAAAGTCACGCCAAACACACACTGCTTGTTACCAAAAGAGCCTTTTATAATCAGGCAGCATAGGTACATTTTTCTTATATACTTGTGCTAAATTATGACTGCACTACAATGACAGATCAAGTAAACTTTCCCTATTTATTATTCCCATGTAACTAGATCGCTTACCGTATTTACTCGATTCTACCGCGCCCTCGATTGTAACACGCACCCGGTTTCCACGACGAAAAAAAAAAAAGAGCAAGACATCGATTGCAACGCGCACCCATTTTTCTCGTTGGCCCGCACGATCACACCACTCGAAAAAACGACTCCTTTCGGGAGCGTCTTCCATTTAAATATGAGGTACGGGGGAAGCTTGTGCCCATCTGACGTGTAACAGAGCATTGCCGTCACTGTAGTTTTACCGTGGACCGATGCCAGCATGCGAACTTGCTTCGCCCGCTTCTTCTCGACGGTTGTGGTGCCAGGCATGTGAAGTAAAGAGGCGTCTGATCGGTATTCCCTATTTGCCCAAGCAGGTAGCCGTTGTTGTGCCGCAAGTTTAGGACGAACCTCTGAAAACTGTGAGGCTTTTCATCGTACTCCGGAAACTTTTCGCATATGGCCGTTCGCCTTTGGAGGGAAAAGACTTTCCTCTTCATAAAGTTAGTTAGCCAGCACCTGCTCGCTTTAAACTGGCTCCGCATTAAACCTTTTTCTAAGGCTAACTGTACAGCCCGCACTTGTAGCAGTTCTGTCGTCACGGGCCACTCGCTGCTCAAGCACATACTCTGCGAGCAGCTCTTCAATTTGTGGAAACCGACCCTGCTGTGGTCCACTGAAGCCTTTGCGTGAAGCTTTGCTGTCGACAATCTTCTGCTTTTGTTTCCGCCAGTCCCGCACGCACGTTTCAGGAACTCCGAACGACCGCGATGCGGCCCGATTTTCATCCGTTTCTGCACACGCGAAGACTTTTCTTTTAAAAGCGGCATCGTGGTGCACTCGAGTTTTGGAGTCGGCCCTTCCATGCCGTCAATGCTAATGCACTACAATATGACGAACTCAGCACACGTATGAAGTGCCGCACTTGAGAAACACATAGGCAGAAATGGCCGACGCGCCATGCCCACGCACGTAGGGGGCAGCCATTTTAGAAATGCCAATGGCAATAGAATGACCGTATTCATTTTTTTTTTCATACTCGATTCTAATGCGCATGCGATTTATGAACTCGCTTAACCGAAAAAAAGGTGCGCGTTAGATTCGAGTAATTATGATATGTCACCTGGATTGCTGCTATTCCTGGCCCTATAGCCTGCTACAGAGAATATTAATTTCTAACAGGTAGTAGAATAATAGAAGTCAAACCAAACCAAAAAACATGTTTGTCACTTCATAGTCTTCCAGCAATAAGACGGGTATAAAGGAGCCTTCTACTGCGCTTGAGGAATCTCAATTTGAATGCTAGATAACCTTAGGAAAGGAAAAATCAGCCATGGCACGAACACTCTTCTAATGATTGATATGTGGGGTTTAACGTCCCAAAACCACCATATGACTAGGAGAGTCGCCGTAGTGGAGGGCAAAATTTTGACCACTTGGGGTTCTTTAACGTGCACCCAAATCTGAGCACACGGGCCTTCAACATTTCCACCTCCATCGGAAATGCAGCCGCCACAGCCGGGATTCGATCCCGCGACCAGCGGGTCAGCAGCCGAGTACCTTAGCCACTAGGCCACCGCGGCGGGGCGTAAACTTTGGTTAATGAAATGAAACGTCACTAAATGTAAAGTCATGCGTGGGTCCCGTTCAACTAACAGCATGTACATATGCCTTCTTCTATGCCTTCTTTGCACAAGGCGACACACTTCTTTGCACAAAAAAAAAGGCATCCGTGCTAGATTTACAAAACCATGCTAGAATGAGTGTCAATCATGAATTTGTGAAAAAGAGACTGTTCACAAACTCCACTGAAAAAGTTGAATGTAGATGGTTATTGAGAAATGACAACAAAGTAGCAGAGAATAGCACAGTTACACAAGGATGCAAGCAAAAAGGATAAAGCTGTACATATGATAGTACACACAATTATTCGACAGAAAACAAAATGCAAGGTGCCAGACACCATCATATTTTATTGTAGCAATAAAAAGAGCACATGAGAGGAGTCATGCAACTTGGCTGTTATAATACTTACCCAGTTTGAAACAGGTACTCTGCTTGATCAGCCGTTTGTAACCTGAAGACGTGCTGCTTCTTTGTGTAGTCTGTTGCCTTTGTCGACAAAGAATGATGAATTCTGATAGAATTGTGCAAACTTTCATACAACTGGTTTTTCCTAAACCCTTGCTCATCCTGTAATAAAAGGAACTATAGTTACATAATGATAAGACAGAACGGAGAAGTATGGGCAGCCCATGGCAAAAGTGTGTAGCAATATTACTTTAAAGCTTGTGTAGATAATGTGTTCACAGTACTTAAAGGATATGTGAAAACACATCTATGGTACAAAAAATGTAATTTCCAGTATCAACATTTGATTAAGTAGTACCTAAAGTGGACAGCATGGCGAATAAAAGTGAGCTTAAAAGAGAAAACACTGAGATTTTGGAAATGTTTACAAATTCCACACACATTCATTAGAAAGGCTAACAAAAAAAAAAACCTTCCTTAACCTTGCATGCAAGGGTGAAAATATTTTTTTTATTTAAACTTCAGGCAGTGCCTCACCCACACCATTCATAAATTGTGTTGCGACAAGTTTTGACGCTGATACCATGAAAGACCATGTGGTTTTTCATCTTTTGAACGACAAGGCAGACATTCATTAACAAGCCCTGCTCCACGCTTTGTAATAAATCACACTGGTAATGTCAGTATGCTTAAATGTGCAAGTCAACAGCAGTTTTTCAATATCGCTATAGCAAAGCCAAAAAAGATTTGAGGAGAGTAGTCAAAAGCAAGACTTTCTTTTATCACCTCATTTTGCATGATGAACGATAACAATAAACTGTGCTATATATACTCAAGTATTTTTTTAAAATAGTCAGATCTGCCACCATGCGTAATACTAATAAATTCTCGATGAGCGCCTAATATGTGAATGCACCTATTATGCGAGTGAATACGATAATGTTTCCGAAATTATGCTGAATACATGCTCTATGCATACATGCTTAAAAATTTTTCTCAAATTGGTGAGGGACGATTGGGGCCGGTTAGTTAAAACTTGCTCAGATGCTGCTTTATTCTCGGATAATTAGGTAGAACAATATTTCTGCTATGTACAAAAAGTACTGAATGAATATGGCTAGCAAATGAATAATCATATATAGAGACATGCAAATAAGAAGCAGAATATTTTCAAAAATAGTCAGAAAGATGCCAAGAATTTCACTTCAACAATCTACCTTAAAATATGGCCTGTTTTTATTATATGCACACTATGCAATAGTAAAATTCAATTCTGCCATGAAATTAGTTTCCTCTGTTCCAATTAGTAATAAAAAATAAAGATTGATTGGTAACTTGGTTGATTTATCATTACTATTTTAAGTGAGAATGCCTTTGCAAACCAAGACAAAAAAAATCTAAAGCAACAAAACTTCAAATTTGATGACTAAATCAAACACAGATTAAAATCATGAGCAAGCCAGGAGGAGGATAATAATGAAGACGAGACCTGAAAAGTGGTTGCTAAATTCTAAAAAGTACCTTTGAAAAATTAACATGCACAAGCAAACTTATATTAATGAAACCTGATTGCAATGGTTTCCTTTCAATCTTTCCAGACCTCCCATGCACCAGGTGAGATTCAAGCACAAGTAAAATGCCTAGTGAAGAAAAAGAGATGCATACACAAACCTAATGTTTTATGTTACCCATTGCATCTTGCCTCAAAAGCTGAGCTGCCCAATGCAAAGAGTAGCAGAGATGATTTGCATGGTTCAGAATTTATCATTATGCAATAATCTTGCAAGAGGGTGAAAGACATAAGTACAGAAATGTGCAAAGCTGTGCTGCCGTTTCAGGAAGGGAGGGCAAATGCACATGAACAGATGACCTTCAGCTGGAAAGATAACTGAAGTGTGTGAGACTACCATAGCTAGAAGTCTAGCTTTTTCTTCCCTTTGAAGAAAAGGGAAAAGCATAGTGTAAATCATTTTCCCAAAGCTAATTTGCCACAGCATGTCAATTCATAGCCTCTGTGCATGCTGGTAAGTCATCAAAATAGCTGGTTCTGCAAATTGGCAATTAATAATTGTGTTATCTGCTGGTATCCTACTGTATTATCTGCTAGAAAGAGCAAATAACACAGGCAGTTTCGAAGTTGGCTGGAGGCAGTTTTCGAAGCCAGATGACACCACAAAATGAAGCAGTTTGCATACTCCATGGGCATCGGCAATGGGTGTAAAGAGGGCACTTGCCCCCCTCAAGCCATGCCAGCACTGGCCTTGAAGCCCCACTAGAGCTCCCCTCCCGTGCCACGATGCAACGTGGATTTGCCCTCTCTCAAGACGAAATGCTGCTAACACCCATGCTTTGTCTACGCGAACTTTTCAGAAGAGGTGTGAGCAGCAATTGCCCTGCCGCCTATAGAAAATATAGCCAGTCCTGGTACCTGAATTCTTGAAGCTGTTCAAGTCATCCAATGAGCTAGCACAGTTGACATAACACAACACTGATAGACTTTATAATGAGCGCACACCCAGGTATCGTGCAGGATGTGCAAGTGGTTGGCAAGGTACGATGCAGTGACCATAGAATGGCACAATCTCGAATTCGCCTAGACTTGAAGAAGGAACGATAGAAACTGATACGCAAGGAGCCAATCAATGAGCTAGCACTGAGAGTGAAAGTACAGGAATTCAGAGTCTCGCTTCAGAACAGGAACTCAACTCTTAGTGAGGAAACCAACCTTAGCGTAAATACAATGAATGATAATCTGATGAGTATTATTACGCAGTGTGCAGTGGAAGTTGGAGACAGGGTAGTTAGACAGGACACTGGCAAGCTTTCCCAGGAAACAAAGAATCTCATTAAGAAGCATCAAATTATGAAAGTCTCAAGTACAACAGACAAAATAGAACTGGAAGAGCTTTCGAAGTTGAATAATAGGAGTAAGGTATGCGATGTAGGAAGGTATAACATGGAGAGAATTAAACACGCTCTGAAAAACGGAAGAAGCGTCAAAGCAGTGAAGAGGAAACTTGGGATAGGCAAAAGTCGGATGTATGCACTAAGGGACAAAGAAGGCAAAATAACTACCAATATGGATAGAATAGTTTAAATAGCGGAGGAATTTTACAGAGATCTGTACAGTAGCCCGGACAACCACGACCTTAATACTATAAGAACTAGCAGTAACCCAGATGACACCCCACCAGTAATGACACAAAAAGTCAGAAAAGCTTCGGCGAGCATGCAAAGAGGCAAAGCTGCTGGTGAGGATCAGGTAACATCAGATCTGCCAAAAGATGGAGCACAGATTGTGTTAGAAAAACTAGCCACCCTGTTTACGAGGTGTCTCCTGACCGGAAGAGTAACAGAGTCTTGGAAGAATGCTAACATCATCTTAATACATAAGAAAGGAGATGACAAGGACTTGAAGAATTACAGGCCAATCAGCTCACTCTCTGTAGTATACAAGCTATTTACAATGGTAATTGCTAACAGAGTAAAGAAAACATTAGAATTCAATCAACCAAAGGAAAAGGAACAAGCAGGATTTCGAACAGGCTACTCAACAATCGATCACATTCATACTATCAATCAGGTAATATAAAAATGCTCAGAATATAACCTACCACTATACATAGCATTCATAGATTACGAGAAGGCGTTTGATTCAGTAGAAATATCAGCCGTCATGCAGACACTGCGGAATCAGGGCGTCGATGAAGTATATATAAACCTCCTCGAAGAAATCTACAGGGGATCAACTGCTACCATAGTGCTTCATAAAGAAAGCAACAGAATACCAATCAAGAAGGGTGTAAAGCAGGGGGACACAATCTCCCCAATGCTATTTACTGTGTGCTTACAGGAGGTTTTCAGAAGCCTAGAATGGGAACAGTTAGGGATAAGAGTTACTGGAGAGTATCCTTAGTAACCTGCGCTTTGCCGATGACATTGCATTGCTGAGTAACTCAGGGGATGAATTGCAACTCATGATTACGAATTTAGGCAGGGAGAGCAGAAAGGTAGGCCTTGAAATTAATCTGCAGCAAACGAAAGTGTTGTACAACAAGCTGAAAAGAGAACAGCGCTTCGAGATAGGTAATAGTGCACTTGAAGTTGTAAAAGAGTACGTCTACTTAGGACAAGTAATAACCGCGGAGCCGAACCACGAGACTGAAGTAACTAGAAGAATAAGAATGGGGTGGAGCACATTTGGCAAGCACTCTCAAATTATGACAGATAGATTGCCACTATCCCTCAAGAGGAAGGTATATAACAGCTGTATCTTGCTGGTACTTAGCTACGGAGCAGAAACCTGGAGACTTACAAAGAGGGTTCAGCTTAAATTGAGGACGACGCAGCAAGAAATGGAAAGAAAAATGGTAGGTGTAACCTTAAGAGACAAGAAGAGAGCAGAGTGGATCAGGGAACAGACGGGGGTTAAGGATATCATAGTTGAAATCAAGAAGAGGAAATGAACATGGGTCGGGCATGTAGCGCGTAGACAGGATAGCCGCTGGTCATTAAGGGTAACTAACTGGATTTCCAGAGGAGGGAAGCGGGTTAGGGGGAGACAGAAGGTTAGGTGGGCAGACGAGATTAAGAAGTTTGCGGGTATAAATTGGCAGCAGCAAGCACAGGATCGGGTTAACTGGCGGAACATAGGAGAGGCCTTTGTCCTACAGTGGATGTAGTCAGGCTGATGGTGATGATAGATCCTACAAGGTGAACATCCCGGTTGTGTTTAGCAGGCTTGGTTTCAACTGGAATATATTTTACCAGCAAGAACAACACCGGGATGAAGAAAGATGTGCACAAGATGTTTGCTAGACATTTAGCTGCAATTCTACTTCAGACACATGACATATGAAAAACAATCTTCACAAAAAATTACAAAGAACAAACAATTGTAGTGTCCAAATCGATATAACACAAATATTAAGGTTAATGCTTGCCCACAACAGTACCTTAAAGAGAAGCACAGCACTGAAGAGTACTTAGCATGGCAGAAATGTTTGATTGAATGCTTACCTTATGTAAATAGAGCACAAGATCACGTAAAGTTGCACAGAACATTTTCCATCCACGTTTCCCAAGAGGAGCTGTAATAGTCAATATTGCTCCTTTCAAAAATGTGAACAAACACACTGCTTTTCTAGTATTTTCAATAAACACTTCACAATATAAACACTTCATTAAAGCTTGTGAAATGTTGAAAAATGTTTTAAACACGTAAAAAATAAGGACTTTATAAGCTGCCCTATAAGCACTTCAAATTACTTAAGCAACCACGACACCATACATACTTCTACAAATGTAATGAATCGTGAATGCAACACAATAGGAAAGTGCCTACTAAAAATAAAAAAAATATAATACTAAGGTTTTTAGACAAAGTCACTGTGCAATGCAGCTATATCTGTAGGGCAAAAACAGTGATCTGTCACAGTGTTGGATGCCTGTACATGGCCACCTGCACAAGCACCAGGATCCATATGCAAACAGATAAGTGCAATGCACTGAACCAGGGGAGATGAGAAAATGAGCTTGCAGACTCAGTTTGTGATATTATTTATTGGTGTGCCTTAGGTCACTGTATTCGAAGTTGCTAAGGAATTTTTTCTGCAGAAGTACTAGCCATTTGAGCAGACACTTTCTCTCGCATTTATTAAGCTCACAATCAGTCACAGATACGTGGCCGTTACCTTCAGAAGGTTGCTAAAGCTTGATCCAGGAAAGCTTCTACGTGTCAACACTGAGTTAAAAAAACACAGTGGAACCTTGTTCATTAATGAAGAAAAAACAAAATGAACAAAAAATGAATTATTCAAGAAATTTTACAATCTGAAATTGTCACAGGACACCTAACTGGGCTGATTCGCACGTCATTACTTTGTCATCCTTTCAGCGTCCCACATCTGTTTATTCCTGATGACGTCTAAATCAGAAATAGAAGTGCAAATTTACCCCTAGTTTTATTTGTTAGACAATATTAATGAGAACTAACAGACAATGATGCCAGAAAAAGTATAAGGGTTGTTATTAAAAGTAATTGTAATGCATATGACGAAAAAAAAAAGGACGAAGAGATAACTTGCCATGGGCAGAAACCAGAACTACAAACTTCAAATAACACGTCCGATGCCCTACCAACTGAGCTACAGCGGTAGTCATCCCTCTGTCTACTTAATAGGTTATATACGAGCACTGAACGTGGGAGCGTCAGTCAGTGCCGCCAGTAGCCACTACGGCGAGTGTGGAACACTCTTCTTTTTGCCTGATGGCATTACGTAGCGCACGATCGTATTACGAACTGGCAGCTGACCAATAATACCTCGTATTCTACATGAAGGCATCAAGTCTTACAGAACAAGATCCTCGCAATGAATGAAAAAAAGAAGTATACATTTAAGGGACCGTTTTCCTTGCTAGACACAACATTAATGAGAACTGAACGACAATGATGCCTAGGAGAGTAGAATTTATTTGATTGATATATCCCAAAAACCCCATATGATTATGACAGACGCCGTAGAGAAGAGCTTCAGAAATATCGACTACCTGGGGTTTTCTTACGGGTGCCCAAATCTGAGCACACGGGCTTAAGGCATTTTCGCCTTCAAGAAAAATATAGGGGTAGTTATAAAAAATAATTGTAATGTAAACATCAAAAAAGGTGGATGAGAAGATAACTTTCCACCAGCAGGTACCGAACCTGCGACTTTAGAATAAGAGACGCTTATTTCAAATAAGAGACACTTATTTAACAGAAAATTACATATAAGAGACACCAGTGTGCCTACATTACTACATATAGGTATTGATAAGAAAATGCATACATAGTGCCCTGCTTATAGGGGACACCCAATATAAGAGACAAGAATTGCTGCCCGGAGCATAAAGGGGTTACAAATATTATTCCAAAGTGACTCAGGTTATGAGATATGCTATAGTGGAGGGCTTCCAATAATTTTGACCACCAGGGGTTCTTAAACGTGCACTGAAACTGAAGAGTACATGGGCCTCTAGCCTTTTGCCTACATAAAAATGCAACTGCCACGACCAGAATTGAACCCGCGACTTTTGGATCCCCAGTAGAACACCCTAATCACTGTGCTACAGCAGATGCTCCCTGCCAAAGTTACAAAACTATGTTGTTGATCAAGCAACATCCAAAATCGCATGCACATTGAAGTTGTCAACTTTCACTGCTTGCCCCACCTGCATGTGGTCTTCAATAACAGGCATGCAGGCCACACTGTGTTTAGCTAGATGTACTTGTTTATGTTAACTCCGACACCTATCACTTCCCAAATCCAAAGTATCAGCCTTGCACCAGCAGGTTATATTACTGTGCAGGCTGTGCATTATTCTAGGTATAAAGTTGACTGTCACTACCAGCAGCACAAACTCAGTGGCAATGCTTCTGTGCACTTGACCGTAGGTGTGTTTAAAGTGCAAGAAAAAAGAGTGCAAAAAAAAAAGATGAGTTTTTTTTAGCTTCTCCTTATAATTGTGCTTCCTTAATGCCACCATTCCAGCTGTCAATCAGACTAACTCGAAGTACTTGCAATGAATGAGTGAACTGTCATCATTCCCAGACATGTCAATGAGTATGGCATGTAACGTCGAGCTCCAAAACAAAATGGGACCCATGTGTCAGCTCTACAACAGAAGGCAAAGGTTTGCTTCACTGGTATATTAAGATCGACACAGCACAAAGCTGCACAACTTGATGTGCTGATGAGTTTTTAGGTCTGGTGCAATGTTGTCACCTATGTGATGAAATCACTGGCTTACCTAAAGCTATGTATAACTACAGCCTTTTTCCCACCACAAAAAACACAGGATGCTTGCACATTGCTTTCTATATGCATGCCAGCTTTCAAGCCTTTTTAACAAGTGTTATTAATTCAAAGCCTGTAATTATACAGGCAAATATTTTTGGAGTAAGCCTAACTGGTGAGTCTTCTGCTGCCTTAGCAATAGCAAATCTGAAGGCACTTCTTGATGTACTTGCACATTTTAAACCTTGTTAGAGTGGTTCCAAATTTATTTCATGCTTTCCTAGCAGTGCTCATATGCAAGGGTGACAGAAAAGAGAAGACGAAACTGAGCTTTTGGACAATACCAAGACAGTGAAAAATGGTGACAGAAGTCGCTGCTACATAAAGTAACTCTAATAATAAATATACGGCGTTTTATGTCCCAAAACCACGATATAATTGGGAGATGTCAAAGTGAAGGGCTCTGGAAATTTCGATGATCCGATATTCCTTAACATGCACAGGCATAACACAGTACATAGGCCTGTATAGTTTGGCCTCCACCGATATGCAACTGCTACATATACAGTAACTCTAGGCAGCAGGAAATACAGTCAATTGCCGATTTTTCGAACCCTCTAGGAAGCGAAAAAGCGTCCGAAAATTCGAGCAGTCCGAAATAATAAATGCAAACAAAAAAATGCATTATTTTACTGATAATTTTTAATGCAAGCAAAAAAAAAAAAATACGCACCATTTTGCTAATATTTCTTAATGCAAGCAAAAAACGCACCATTTCATTGATATTTCTCGAATCAAAAGGGTCAAGGTTGAAGTACCAGACTTCCGGAACTCTGCCAAAGCATCAGTGGGGTGGCTCTGAAAAGAGCCGTTAAAAAAAAATGCATGCAGCCGACAGCGGGTGCCGTCAGGGCAGCCGGTGTTTGAGCTGCAGTGGCTTGAAAAACTTGTTGATCCTTGTTTGAACGGGGTTCCACTTGCATGTGATCACATTTGCCGCGATCTGAGCAAGGGTCATGTCATCACAGTACACCGATGACAGCGTCATCAATGCTCGCATCAATGCGGCGGTCGTAGGTGGCGCAGGCGTTGGTTCCTCTTTTTCGACATCGTAGTTGTCTGAATCCGCCATAACCTGACTGACTATTTCGTCGTCGGTTAACTCTGCGCAGAAGTCGAGCTTGTTGTCAGCGTCGACGAACCGCTCAAAAGTTATTTCCGTGGGCATGGAAGCACCAGCAGAGCAGAGGTCATTGATAATATCGTCCATGAGAGGGCACAAGTCAGTCCCCCTGTTGCTTGCTTCAGGCAAGTCTGCTGCCTCTGTGCCGAGTACGAAGCTCGCGTGGCGAAAGCAGTTGCGAAGCGTGTCTTGCGTTACTGCCTTCCATGCGTCCGCAAGCATTCCGACAGAAGACAAAAGGTCAACGCTGTAGCCTTTCCCGTTTTCGAGCACAGCACCATGCGGTTGAGTATACGTGAACGGTACAAAAGTTTCAGATTACGGATAACGTCTTGGTCCATCGGTTGGAGGATCGCAGTCGTGTTGGGCGGCATGAATTCCAGCTGGATAGCCTTCAAGTTATTGATGTGACCATGAGCAGCGCAGTTGTCAACGAAGAGCAGAACACATCTCTTCTGTTGTTCAAACTTCCTGTTCGACCTGCGGTTATAACTCTTGAACAACTGCTGTGTTACCCATGCCTTTTTGTTGGCTTCGTATAACACTGGCAGCGTTGCCCCTTTAAAACACCTCGGGCTCTTGGACTTCCCGATTACTAACAAAGAAAGTTTCTCGCTGCCAGACATGTTGCTGCCGACAAGAATGGTCAGCCGTTCTTTGCTATGCTTGCCACCATGACATGCGTCACCAGCAAAAGCGAGTGTTCTTTCCGGCAGCAGCTTGTAAAACAAGCCAGTTTCGTCGCAGTTGAAAATGTCAGCAGAGAACTGCTGCAACAAAGACCGGAGTTTTCCACTGCGGTACTTCGCAATAACTGCACTGTCGACGACGACGCTTTCACCACACATCTTCTTGAACTTGAGGTCATTCCGATGCTTAAAGTTTCTCAGCCATCCATCACTGAACTTAAAATCCGTGATGTCCATTCGAAGCGCGAGACTTTCCGCTTTTTGTTTCAAGATGTAGCCCGAGACTGGCAGCCGCTTGGAAATCATTGAATTAAGCACACCACGAGAGCGTCCTCAAGCTTTGGATGAACACCTTGGCTTGCATTCATCTTTTGGGCACCACACGGTTTTTCGGCCGCTTTCAAGATCTTGTCTTTGTTCCTCAGGAATTGGAAACTTTTTGC